ACACCCACACTAATCCCCCCCCACACACACCCACACTAATCCCCCCCACACACACTCACACACACACACACACACACTCACACACACACACACTCACTCACACACTAATCCCCCCCACAGACACAGAGACACTCACGGGGTGAGGGTGGGGGTAATGGGGATGTTTTGCGGAGGGGGTGGAGGGTGAGGGTGACGGTCCCTGGGCACAGGCACAAGCCGCTTCCTCCCCGCTCCGGCTCTCAGTGACGCGGTGCCTCGCAACAGGAAGTTTCCAAAGTTTCAGCAAAGTTCAGCCCGAGAGAGGGAGAGGGACAGAGAGAGGGACTGAGAGAGAGCGACAGAGAGAGGGAGAGGGAGAGCGAGGGACTGAGAGAGAGGGAGAGGGACAGGGAGAGGGAGAGAGACAGGGAGAGGGAGAGAGGGAGAGGGAGAGAGGGAGAGGGACAGGGAGAGAGGGAGAGGGACAGGGAGAGGGAGAGGGACAGTGACAGAGAGAGGGACAGAGGGAGAGGGAGAGGTAGAGGGAGACAGAGAGAGGGAGAGAGACAGAGAGAGGGAGAGGGACAGAGAGAGGGACAGAGAGAGGGAGAGAGACAGAGAGAGGGAGAGGGACCGAGAGAGGGACAGAGAGAGAGAGAGAGAGGGAGAGGGACAGAGAGAGGGACAGAGAGAAAGAACGAGGGAGAGGGACTGAGAGAGAGAGAGGGACAGATAGAGGGACTGAGAGAGGGAGAGGGATAGAGAGAGGGACTGAGAGAGGGAGAGGGACAGGGAGAGGGAGAGAGAACAAGAGAGAGGGACTGAGAGAGGGAGAGGGACTGAGAGAGGGGAAGGGAGAGAGAGGGAGAGGGACTGAGAGAGGGAGAGGGACAGAGAGAGGGGAAGAGAGAGGGAGGGCGAGGGACAGGGACAGAGAGGGAGGGCGAGGGACAGGGACAGGGACAGGGAGGGAGGGAGAGAGAGGGGGAGAGGACAGGGAAGGAGAGGGAGGGGGGGTAGGGACCAGTTCAGATGCCGGGAGCCCGGGCTGGGGGGTAGGGGGTGCTGTGGGGTTTGAGATCCGAGCCCTGCCGCCATGCCCGGCCATTCGGGCCGTCGCTGCCGCCTGTTCTGGCTGCTGGCGAGTTGCCTGTGTGCCGCCTTCCTGTGCCTGCGGAGTGAGCTGGCCACTCAGCCCGAAGAGGAGCCTAGCCCCCTGCCCGTGCTGCAGCTCTCGCTGGCTTTCCTGCTCTGTTACTCTCTGATTAAATCCTGGTGCCCAGTTTGTCCTCACCAACCGTGCCCTGTGAGGGCACCCTCGGCCCATGTCGCCAGGAAAGTTGTCCTGGAGAGTTACTATGAGCACCAGCTGAGAATATCCCCCCATGTGCTGGGCCATAGCCGGGCCCATGTCCGTCAGGTTGTCACTGAGCTGCTCAGGGTAGGCAAGTGTGAACAGGAAGGGAGCACTTTGGCATTCCGCGGAGATTTCCTACAGATTGGCAGCACCTATGAACAACATCAGACCAACAGCCTGGACTGCTTCGACCTCCTGGTACCCATCAAAGTGCCCCAAGCCCTACAGCTGGAACCCACCTTCCACATAGGCCCCCAGTCCTCTCTGGAGGGCACTGCCATCTGCAGAGTGAAGCCATGCATCAAGCCGGAGTGGGCACGGTGCCAGAGGGAGTTTACTGAGAGTTTCTGTGTCCGCTTTGGGAAGCAGCGTGCCCTGTCCTCTGCCCAGGTCCTCAGGTGGTTCCACAGCAAGGTGCTCCGCTGCCTGAATGTGATCCGCTTCCATTGTGAACAGCGCTGTTCCATCAGCCTGGCGCCTCTCAAAGACCAGCTCATCCTCAAACTGCTGCCCAGGGCTGACTATGTTTGCTGCCACATTTCATTGTCGGTGAGGCTGATCCCAGCCCTGCATGTGGGGGATTCCATCTTCCTGGTGGCCCAGCCTTGCTGCAGGAGTCAACTGCTGTTACCTGCTCTCAGCCCGGGCACCCTCTGGGCTGTTTACCTCTCCAAACACGAGCGCAAGTTTCTCAACTGGCTCAAAGTGCAAACGCCAAACAATTCCTGCCACTTGAAGTGTCTGCAGATTATGAAGGCACTCCGGGACCTGGGCTGCAGAGAGTTTGACCAACAATTCTCTGTTCAGTGGAACACAATCCTGTGTTCCTACAACATGAAAACAGCGCTCTTCCACCTGCTTCTGAAAGGTCCCCTGGCTGCATGGGATGACAGATTCCTCATGGACAGACTGGAGGACTTGGTCCTGTTTTGGAGGGAGCGGTTACAGAAACAGGAACTGATGCATTTTTTCCTCGGGAATAAAAACGTTCCGGATTTTCTGACGGTGCCTAGGAAGATTAAGGAAGTGCTGCCCGTGAACTTGCTGGCAGGTTTTGATGCTGCTCTCTTGGACCTGGTCTCCTTTCAGCTCCTGAAAACGTGGAATTGTGCTCATCTCATCATGAAGCTCAACAATCATAAACACTTTGCAAGAAATTGCTAACAGATGCTCAAAGCTGAAACTGCCTCCAACTTAACAAATGTCAAACCGTTTCTGCTGCTTCTGTCTGCTCGGTTGGTCATTTAATTTTAATTTTAATTTATTGCATGTTATTCTAAGTGACACATCAGTATTGTGTCTCAAAACATGTATCTTTACTTGTGAAGAAGAGTCACATCAGACTCCACAAGTTAACTCTTGTTTCTCTCTCCACTGAAGCTGCCAGACATGCTGAGTTCCTCCAGCAAAATTGCTTTCTGTTTCATTACATAACTGTTCTCTGTTCAGGAAGAAAGCCAGTCAATGTTCCCTTAGTATTTTATATCAAAAGTTCTCATTAGAATGTGTACATTTTTAATGCATTGAAATCTCCATAATTTATTATTTTGTTAATAAATAATTTGAAGGCTTTCCTTGCTTCCTGCTCCTTTCTATCAGTGTAGTGTTCACTGTTTAAGGTTAGCTGGGGGGGATTATTCAGTTGAGATGGTGAATTTGCTGAGGTGAGCCTCGAATCAAAAACTCAATCTTCTGTGTGCTAACTGGTATGTGATGTTGTGACAGTGAGGACAAAATATCAGTGAGAAATGTAGCTCAAAAGGTACAACTTGGTTGGTGAAGGATTCCAGGATTTTCTCTCACTGTCTCTCATGTATGAGTGCTGCTGTGAAAGACTAATTTTATCAAGTTTTTCACCTCACTGTCACTGAGGCATTACACAAGAAACAATGATGGTTAAAAAAATGTATCAGAGGAGAGTGCTGATTGGTTGGTAAGTGGATTCTGTTTGCTAGAGACCTTATTGTTGAGAATGCACTAGTTACTCATCGTCTAACAGTTAACTGTCAAGCTTTATTTAAATGTAATCTCAGAAGGTTGACTCGAGTCAAAGTCACAAGACACACGACACTGGATTATAGTCTAATAGGTTTATTTGAAATCACAAGCTTTTGGAGCGCTGCTGCTTCATCAGATGAAGTCACCTGATGAAAGAGCAGTACTTGGAAAGCTTGTGATTTCAAATAAACCCGTTGGACGATAACCTGGGGTCATGTGACTTCTGACTTTGTCCACCCCAGTCCAACACTGGCACCTCCCCATCACGGCCCTAGTCAAGGCATTGTTGTGAAGAATTAGCTTCCACCTCTTCCATTCGGTTGAAACACACACAGATACCGCAACCCAAAACCAGTCCAGCTCGTCCCTGCCTCCCTAACCTGTTCTTCCTCCCACCTATCCCCTCCTCCCACCTCAAGCCGCACCTCCATCTCCTACCGACCAACCTCATCCCGCCCCCTTGACCTGTCCGTCCTCCCTGGACTGACCTATCCCCTTCCTAACTCCCTACCTACACTCACCTTTACTGGCTCCAACCCCGCCTCTTCGACCTGTTTGTTTCCTCTCCATCTATCCTCTCCTCTATCCCTCTTCTATCCGCCTCCCACTCTCTCCCTATTTATTTCAGAACCCCCTTCCCCTCCCCCTTTTCTGATGAAGGGTCTAGGCCCGAAACGTCAGCCTCTCTGCTCCTATGATGCTGCTTGGCCTGCTGTGTTCATCCAGCCCTGCACCTTGTTGTCTCGGATTCTCCAGCATCTGCAGTTCCTACTATCTCAGAGTGTATATGTGTTTTTTTTTACTGTCTTCCAAGATCTGGGATCTCAGGTCAAATGTACATAGCTTCCAGTGAACACAGGAGCCTGAAAAATGTGGTTGTTAACTGTCAGTCATCATTTAACTGTGGCCGTGCTTCTACCAATCAGAGTCTGCTTGCTAACCAGTTAGCATCTTTTTCTCATGCAGTGTAAACTTGCTGTTCCTGTTTAGTTTGATATTTCTTGTGACTTGTTCTGATGAGTGGAATATGGAAAGCCTCATTTAGACATCTTTTAGCGATTCTCCAGTTCTGTCCCACCAAAAGATTAACTGTACAAATCATTAAAACATGTCACAGTGTCGTAATCTTTTGCTGCCCACACAGGATCATCCATAAACTGAAAATATGCAACCCAGAATTCCCTTCATTCTATATTTGTGTGAAATGATTGTGTCTTTTCTTTCTGTTCACCACATGAGCCAATCTGTTTATTCCACTGTTTTTGCATTTGCAGATCCTGTTCTTTATCTAACAATGATTTTCTTGGGCTGGTCTTTAGCAGCTGTATACAGTGAGCAGTAACTCTGGGAGTTTGCTGAGACACTCGGTAGAGCGCAAAGGTGACTGAAATTCCAGCCACTGATACAGGCCAGGAATATTTCCAATATCATATCTAGTATCTGTCCATTATTCACAACTATTTGGCAGTCTGATCAATTCAAATATATGATTTTCCTCCTTTAATGCTTAAATGGATTGCATATTAACAACATGTGGGCACTGGTACACTTTATAATTTGTATTTCATTCCAGCATGCTAACATTTGAATTATTTTTTATTTTCTACAATTAACTTACAAATCAGAATATTCATTTGGTCTCATCAGTAGTCATTTTTTAAAGGTCATGATGTTTATCCAGGTATCTGAGTTGAATGGACTGAATATGTGTGTGTGTGTGGGTGCGGTGGAGGGGTTGCAGGTGGACGGGAAAGCTAGAAATTCATAAACAACTGTCAGTGGCAGAATAAGATCAATGGAAGCATCAGTGTGTTACAACTCGCTCTCTAGTGTTGTTTCAAGTAATGTATTGAAAAATGATTGAAAAACGCTGTGTGCACAGAATTTCAGTGGTTTAAGCATCACATTTTGATAAGTTGTTCTATTTGTATGCAATATCCTATACAATGCAATGCAGACTGAGTCACAATCAATCTAGTCTTTCTCAGAGTTCTACGTTAAACTGTTCATAACCAGTTTCATCATGTTAAAACTTCCATTTTATTTGCTCTTTGTGCTTTTTTTGGTCTGGCATTCGCATTAATACTTTCAAACTTATTGATGACACAGCCTTCTCAATATATCAGAGGAAATGATGGATTCAGGCACAGTTGCAACATTTAAAAGGCATCTGGATAGGTACAGGAATAGGAAAGGTTTGGAGGGAAAATGGACCAAACGCAAGCAAATGGGAAACAAAAATCAGAAATTGCTGGAAAAGCTCAGCAGGTTTTGCTGCACCTGTGAAGAGAAATCAGAGTTAACGTTTCAGGTCCAGTGACCCTTCCTCAGAACAGTTCCGAGGAAGGGTGACTGGTCCTGAAACATTAACTCTGTTTTCTCCTTCACAGATGCTGCCAGACCTGCTGAGCTTTTCCAGCAACTTCTGTTTTTTGTTTCTGATTTACAGCATCCGCAGTTCTTTTTGTTTTTATTTAGCGGACTAATGGGATTCGTTTAGTTTGGGAAACCTGGTCAGCATGGACTAGTTGGACCAAAGAGTTTGTTTCCATGCTGTTTGACTCTATGACTATCATGATAATGGACAGGAGCATATCAACAGAAGCACGGTTCATTCTGTTATTTCTCTGTTGCCCTATATATCTTCCAATGTAATCAAATAGCACAAGAGTCATACTTGATGCAGGCACACTAAGATTAGGGGTTCGTTCAGATTTTCTTGAAATGCTATTAGGATTTGGAGGTTTGTCATCACAGGTGACTAGTATATACAGTTGGCCATTCGCATGAAATTTTCAGACAGTTTATCCAATTTGTTAAGCAGCAGTTTAGCTAGTTCTGAAGAAGGATCACTGGACTTGAAACATTAACTTTGTTTCTCTCTCCACAGATGCTGCCAGATCTGCTGAGTTTCACCCGCAATTTCTGTTTGGTTTCAGATCTTCAACATCAACAGTTCTTTGTTTTATTTTAGCTATGAGACATTGGTTAATTAGACAGAAATGTGCACAACCTGCGATAGTGGAGGATGCTTGATATATCAGAGGACACGAGGAATGTGTCGCCCTTGTTAAAGTTGCAAATACAGCAACCTGCTCTCCATCCAAAGTGTTAAAGTCTTTCGTCAATCCTTTCTGATACATCTTCCATCTGAAGAAGACAGCTCCCTGATGAAGGCTGTGCTCCTGACTCTGAGCACATGTTGATAAGCCCTACGTTTGGCAATTGACACTGTGTCAATCACCTGTTTTAATCCTTAAATCAATGAGTGTCTGAATAACTGATGTCCCTTTGCCCATCTTCATTCAAAGGTTAGTTTTAATTGGTATTGGGGAGAAATATTTTTGCGAAACACTGCATTGCTTATAGAGTTACATGTGTCAGATTATTATTTGATGACCACTTTTGGAATACAGTGGACCTGGTGGTTTTGTTGGCACCTTGTTTTGTTGTTGTTTATTAGAAATTGTTTCTGTTTGCAGAAAGGAAGGAAGTGCTGAGGCAGCCGTTATATGAAGTCTCATGCTGCACAGGAAATACTAGAATGGTTCAGTTTTAAAATGATCCCAATTTCTGATAATGGGCAATTTTCTTCAGCAAGGGAAACATTTTGACTTAATTTGTACATGAAACAGATCCTAGCCTCATGGAATGTCCAGCTGAACAGATAAAAGTCCTTTTATCTTCTGTTACTTTTTACAGTAAAATATAGGAACAATCAGTTGCTAAACAGCTTTGTGTAGCTAGGATGATTGGCATATTCCTTGCTAAAAATAGATGGATAACTCCATGCACTAAGGTAGTCAGAAGAGTAAAGGCTGGGTACTGGCAGGTAGTGCCGATGGAGATTTCTATCAGATCGGCTGAGACTGTGGAATGATTTGTAAAACAAGACAGTGACTCCCTTTGAATTCAGAAACCCAATGGAAGTCGAGAGAGTCTGTAGGCTAGAAGCAAGACTTTCTACGGGATAGAACGAAAGTATCAGAGTTTTGAGAGATTTTAAATTTATTGAGGCCAGAACTGAAGCCTCAAAATGGTGAAAGAAGTTTGGCCAGTGGAAGGAGAAGCTTCTTGGTCAGGATTGCCTGCTCCCATGCTGCTACAATGCTGTCAGAGGTGCAAATGGGCACTTTTAATCACAGGTGGTTTCTGATAATTGTGAACAATCCAGTTCGGCCTGGATTAGCATCTGAGCTGCAATTTGGAATCAGGAGTCAAGTGTAGCAATGATAGTGGAGCTTAGAAATCCTTTTTGTAGCTTCAATCTTAAACCTATGTTGGAGAAAATTTATTGTATATCTATCACTTGAATAAATATCCATAGAGTAGATTGGTGAGAATGTAGAGCTGGGCATCATTGTCATGAATCTGCAAACTTGTTAGGTAGCTCTGGAAGTTGCTACTGAACAGCAGTGAGTAACAGAGTAAAAGGACTGAGCTAAGGCTGCTCCCAAGAACATCCAGACAATTTAAAAGAATTTTGGAAACCCAATATCCATTAAAAGGAGAGAAACTGCTTAAATATAGTGAAGAATATTTCTATTACAGGATTGAGAAAACTCGCTGTCTGAGTCAGGTGATGCTAAAACATTCAATTTAGAATTATTGAAAGCCTTCCAATTGTGTGGAAAGCTTTCAATAATTCCACTGTTCGCAGTTTTTGATTTCATGCACCCTCCTGAGTTAATAATTATTTACTTTGTAAGTAGATGATGTATAATATCAATTCGAAGCTGCAATATGGGTTCTCAGTACGTGTTCTGTTTTATAAAACAGGATTGTACAGGAGGAACTGAGACCAATGATGCATCAACTTAGGCATTTCTGGTTTGGTGAAATAAGCCAAATGTGCTCCTAGTACAGACAACCCCATTTCATTAACTAAAGAATACTTCTCCTTTTAATATTTCTACACTTCCATATTTTACAAGAGATTGGACAATGGGAATTCTATGGAGGTACAACAAATGGTTAAACTCTGCTGCTATCTAAAATAAAGCGCTATTTTTAAAAGCTAGCTGTTTATTTATCAAACTGAAAACTACAAAGTCATGACGTGGGCCTACAAAAATATTTGCCATAGATTGTATGTTGGACGTGATCAGCTTTTCTCAGCTGAACCAGCCGTTTTGATCTTTCAAGTCGCACAGTGTTACTGGTGTTTATGGTTTTTGCTCAGAGTTTCTGGCTAACAGATTTTGGGGCTTCCAGTGTTTATTTTTGCAGATTTTGATTTGCATCAAATGTAATTGCTCTCCCTGGGACTGGGACACGTCAGTGCTTTCAATGAGACTGTTTATGTTCACGCAACCTCCCATATGTCGCCCACTTGTTGAGAGCATTGCTCTCATGTCAGTTGGCAGGCTACAGTGTCTCTCCTTGGACATCACCCTGCTCACAAACTATTTCCTTCACAGCTATCGGTTGCTGGCCTGATGATTCATTTTCTGCCCCTGTTTTTCCTGCTAAGAGGCTGCAAGAGAGTTTGGATTAAGCCAAGAAAAAGATTCCAGTGGAAAAAAAAAGTTTTTGTACCACTGAAAAGTTTTTTTTTTAAATTTCAATGCCTTGACAATCTGTCATAGCAGCACAGAGATATATACAAGTTATATTCAGGATTTCAAATAGTCGTCTTACTGGGTTTTATCGGTGCTTTCAAAACACATACTTCCAGGAGAGCTCTTAGTGGGTCAACACAAAAAAAAGGAACTTTATATATTCGATGCTCTTTTATGACTGTGTATAATACATTGGCTGTAACATTCAATTTAATTGTCTGGTTACTAATATTTTTACACAGTAGGGCAGCATTACACCATAGATCTGAGTCACCCAATACACCCACGGGTGTGTCTTAACTGCTGAAATATTACTGCTCAATTCTCCTACTATCTAGATATTTATAAAACGGTATATACTTTTTATATGTGTATGACATACATTTTTAAGTAAATTGTTATTTCAGGGCGTTTGGAATAATGTGAACTTATTAGTAGCTTTGTTCAGAGAAGATTGTGTCTCACAAACTAGATTGAGTTTTTTAGAGAAAGTGACAAGGTAGTAAATGTTGCTCATGTGGACTTAATCAGGGCCTTTGACAAAGTCCATCATGGCAGACTGATACCAAAGGTGAAGTCACATGGGATCCACAGTGAGCTGGAAAGATTGGTACAGAACTGGCTTAGTCATTGGAGACAGAGTAGCAGTGGAAGGGTGTTTTTCAGACTGGAGATCTGTGACCAGTGGTGTTCGCAGGGATCAGTGCTGGGATGCCTGTTGTTTGTATTATGTATAAACGATTTGGAGGAGAATGTAGGTGATCTGATTAGTAAGTTTGTGGATGACACAAAAACTGGGGGAGCTGTGGATAGTGAGGAGGATTGCCAGAGGATACAGCAGGATGTTGATAGGCTGGGGACTTGCGCAGAGACATGGCAGGTGGAGTTTAACCTGGACAGATGCAAGGTGATGCATTTTGGAACATCGAAAGAACAAAGATCAGTACAGCACAGGAACAGGCCCTCAGACCCTCCAAGCCTGCGGTGGTTCATTTTGCTTTTCCATGTGAAAACAGTCTTCACTTACAGGATCCACATCCCTCTATTCCCTTCCTATTCATGTATTTGTCCAGGTGCTTCTTGAACGCTGCTACTGTGTCTGCTTTCACCACCTCCTCTGGCAGTGTGTTCCAGGCACTCCACCCTTTATGTGAAAAATGTGCCTCACACATCTCTTTTAAACTTACCCCCTCACACCTTGAATCTGTGTCCCCTAGTAACTGACCCCTCCAGCCTGGGAAAAAGCCTCATACTTTACACTCTATCCATGCCATTCACAATCTTATAAACTTCTATCAGGTCACCCCTCAAACTCCTGCATTCAAGTGAAAACAAACCCAGTCTACCCAACCTTTCTTCATAGCTAAAATCCCCCATACCAGGCAACATCCTGGTAAACATTTTCTGTACCCTTTCCAAAGCATCCACATCCTTCTGGTAGTGTGGTGACCAGAACTGTATGCAGTGTAGGAGGGAAGTATACAGTGAATGGCAGAACCCTTAGTAGCATCAGTACAGAGGGATCTAGGCGTACAGGTCCATACTTCCCTGAAAGTGGCGACACAAGTGGGTAAGGTGGTCAAGAAAGCATATGGCATGCTTGCCTCCATTGGCCAAGGCATTGAGTATAAAAATTGGCAAGTCATGTTGAAGATGTATAGAACTTTATTATTTTGGCCACATTTGGAATATTTCGTACAGTTCTGGTCACCACACAACCAGAACCATGTGGAAGCTTTGGAGAGGGGACAGAAATGGTTTACCAGGATAATGCCTGGTTTGGAGGGTACTAGCTATGAGGAGAGATTGGACAAACTTGGTTTGTTTTCACTTGAACATTGCAGGATGAGGGAGGTGACCTGAGAGAAGTTTACAAAGTTATGAGAGGGATGGATAGAATGGATAGGCGGAGCCTATTGTTCCCAGGGCAGAAATGTCAATTACTGGCGGACACAGGTTTAAGGTAAATGGGGGTAAGTTTAAAAGGAATGTGAGAGGCAGGTTGTTTTTTAAAACAGAGGGTGATAAGTGCTTGGAATGTGCTGCCAGAGGAGTTGGTGGAGGCAGATACAATAGGAACGTTCAAGAGGCATCGTGACAGATATTTGATGAGGCAGGAGTTAGAGGGATACAGACAGCATAGAGGCAAAAGGTTTTTAGTTTAGTGTCAGTGCAGTCTTGGAGAGTTGAAGGGCCTGTTCCTGTGCTGTACTGCTCTTTGTTCTTTGACGTAGGGGAAAGAGATTTGCATCAATAGTGTATTTTCAGTTTGTGAGACCATCTAAACCTCCTTGCAAAATAGCATGCATTTTAAATAATGCATTCTATTTGTGGTGAGAGAGAATTGCAGACAGCAGATGAGATGCAGTATTACTCAACTTGTGAGATGATTAAATTAATAATTTACAGGAGATAAATTAGTTCCACCAGCAGAAATAATTACAGTATGTCACCCATATAATAACTCGTTTATAACACCACTATAACTTGTATTTACATAGAGCTTTTGACATAATGAAACGTTTCAATGTACTTCACAGACGTATTATAAAACAAAGTATGATCCCAAACTACAGGAGGAGATTTCAGCTTCAAGGACCAAAAGCTTGATGAAAGAAGTAAGTTAGTAATTGTCTTAAAAGGAAAAAGGTGATGTGGTCGAGGTTGGGGTGGGAGGGCGGGGGTGCTTGTCACCCAGACCACTAATAGTGCAGCAATTATAAATGACCCAAGCGGCCAGAATTAGAGGAGACTAAATATCTCGGAGGTTTGTGGGGTTGGAGGAGATGGAGATCTCAGAGATAGGGAGGGATGAGGCAGAGGAAGAGGGATTTGAAAACAATGCGAGAATTTTTAAATTGCGGTGTTGCTTGATTGGCACCCAATGTAGATCAGAAAGCGCAGTGGTAATAGGGGAGCATGAGTGTTAAAATGCAGGCAGTAGTGTTTTGGATAACCTCAAATTTGCGGAACCCACAGGAAACAAAGTTTTCAGCAGTAGATGAACTGAGTTTGTTGAAGTCAATCGATGTTATAAAAGGTAGAAATAGGTGGCTTTGGACAAGATCAGTTCAGTGCCTGAGAAAGTAAAACGGGTTAACTCCTTCTCGGTTTGTTGACAGGAAGAGAGAGGAATCGGTATTTAGGGAACTAGAATGAAATGTTTAAGTTTTAGTCATTTATTCTTTCATGAACTACGAACTAGAGTTTTACAATTAACAACACTTTTAAGAAGCTTTCTGTTTTGTTGGAAAAAATCTAAGATACATATAGGGTGGTGAGGTGATTGAAGAAATCATTAGAAACTAGCAGAAGTGAAAGAAAAACACAAGGTGGAGATGAAGGAGTTACTAAAACAGAGGCAGTGAGTAGAACAACAAAAATACAGACATGGGGAAAAAAGGAAGTCAATGTATTGATGAACAAGACTCTCACCACAGGGGAAGTTAAAAGAAAGATTCAGTTTCCATTAGTTATCTTTCGGATTAAATTCAACACTTGAATATGTAGGGATGTAATATTATGTATTTAATGTAGTTACTTTGTTTTTTTTCGGTTGTGTTAAACTGCTTTTAGTATTGATAAGAAAAGACATTTTGTTGTAGCTTTACACTCATCAGGACACTTTGCAAGAATACCAATTCAAGGGGAAAATCAACATTGAAAATGCATGACAGAAGAGTGATGATTGGTTGGCAAGTGAATTGTGATTGGAAGAGGCATTACAATGGAGAATACACCCATTGATACTGATTGACAGTTAACTTCCAGTCTTTGTTTAATTTTAAATGGGCAGGTTGACTGATTAGGCAGGACATTGCACTGAGAAATGAACAAGTAAATGGTTGTCACCTATTTTGTTGAGTTGAACCAGGCGGTGTGTTCACGTTCTGTCTGTCTGTAAAGACCAGAGCCTTGTGTATTAGAATGTGTGACTTGCAGTACATGCAAGTGCACAACACTGCAAGCCCCACTGATAGTCCTGAACTGGTGTCAGTGTATTTCTTCACACACTCAGTATCATTGATCAAATGCTGTCTAATTTCAGAATCATATTTAATGTTTGACACTATGTTGCAGTGAGGGCTGGTTGAATACAGGCAGTGCCATGCTAGTGAACAGCCAGAATGATATGCTATTGGATGTGATCTGTTTGAGTTTGGGATGTACAGCCTATATACCTGCATCACACTGGCCCTGAAATTCATATCTCACATTATTTGTTTGTGACAGGCAGAATGCATTGGTTTAATGGCAGCATCTGTAAGCAGGAAACACCACTCATGTTGCTAACTGCCTAGTAGTAAGTAGCGTTTACTTAAAATTGGTATCTTAGTGGAGGGAGACTGGGCACTTTTCAGGACTGAGGTTGACAT